TACAGCAGGCTGCACAGGACCTTGTCCGATACTTAAAACAGATTCCTCTTTCTTCCTTAGTTTACTTCATATCTATTTTTTTGACTATTGGCAAAACCTGTATTACTTTTCTAATGAAAATATTACGTATGGAACTATCTTAATTCTTCCTAACGAACGGAGAGCAACTGTTGCCGTAGACTTGCGTTTTATGATGGGAAGTTGTTCAGTGTACACTCCTAATAAAATTAATCTAAATTCAGCAATCAAACTCTTAAGTTCCTTTTTATGACAAAGGAAGAACAAAAATGTTAAGACAGATGTAGACATTTAGGAAGAACAAAAATGCTAAGACAGATGTAGACGTTTTAATAAGTCTTTTCCACCTTTTAAGATTTACTCACTAAATCAGGTCTACGGTCCACAGAGCATACCCTGAATTTTGACAGCTCGCAGCTGATAAGGCAGCTAGTGAACCATTTCACACTCACCACCCTGAGTAAATGGCAATAGTCAGTCAGTTGCCTTAAGGAAGCCTCAGCTGTCTTTAAGGGGCGATACCCTTTCTGGCTGATATCCTTTCCCAAGCCTGTTCCAGTTTAACTGAAACTGATACTGAAATTTGGACACCGATGTCCCACGTAACTCAAACAAGAGAACTGAATTTGATTTGTTCATCGTATTTCGTGGTCATAAAATACGGGGTGACACTACCATGCGCTTGGAGCTTTCGATACCAGAAATCCTACAAATCTAAAGCATCAGCAGCGCTACGCAGAGGCGTATGGCGTACTCACGTATGGCAGCAGGCTGGGCTCACTGTTCACTCCGCAGATGCTGATCAAGAAGTGCAAAATGATTTTCAGATTCTTCGGCCAGCTGTCTGCCAAAGTAGTCCAGACATTTTCTATCTCCGACCAAGCCACTTCATCACCATACTAGAAAACAACATAAACATCGCTCCTGAAAACTCCAGTAGAAAACATTGTATCTGAAAGTGAACTGTACTGACCAAGCGGGACAGAAAAAGGAGGCACAAATCCTGTAAGAAGTTATTGCCTTTTTCAACATTCCAGAATGAAGCTTTCACCTACATTCATTTTTATAAACACATTCTGGAAATAACTATCTTCTTTTACAGCTATAAATATATGACAATATATTGTTATATAGTATAGGAAAGTTTAAATAAATATATAACAATATATTTATTTGTATAATGCACAAATAATATATGTATTTGTACATATTATGTATTTTACTGATATATAACATATGCTTTTATACACTATATAAGTATACAGATATTCATATGTGAATTTATTTCTATTTTTATGTATTTATTTACATATAAAGAAAAAAAGTTATTTAAATTTAGCAGAGATCCATTCTCCCAGCTGCTGACAATCCTGAATAAAATTCCATGGACCAAAGGCTGCCAAGAGTTTTTAGTTTGTAGCTTAAAACACAATCTCTCCTCAGCAGGACTCAAAGCTATGAAGAACTGGCAGGAGCACTGCAGGTGACCAACCCTCCTCCTGTGCTGGAAGGAGCTGTCGCGGGCAGGAGGAGGGTCTGCCAGCCTCTGGCAGGAAGATCAGTTCCAAAGCGTCCTGCGAGGAGCAGGGAGCTGGGCTCGGTGATCCTGACGGGTCCCTTCCAACTCGAGATATTCTAGGATTCTAGGAAATGTTCCTGATTAAAGCTCCACTTTCAGATCGCAGGTGTACAGGTGACTTGGTATCCTCTATCCAGCTAGACATCCACATTGCAAAACAACCATTACGTACTGCTCCTACATATAACAATTACTATAACATTTATATTTTCTATTCTGTATTTCTCAGAACACCTCAAAACTATATGGTGTAGTTTGTGTATTCACAAGTAACTCAGTAAGTATGAACAATAACTCCTGAAAGCCTGGTCAGACAGTATATTTCTCGCACCCTACACACAACCACCCACCGGAACAAGACGAAGCACTTGAGTAATTAGCTTTACCTTTGCAGTCATATACATCAGGTTGTTCAGAACCATAGCTGTAGCCTGCGGCGATCCCCAGCCTTCCCCTCGCAGCCATCGTCTACTGTTCACCATCATTTCTCTGTCTTTCAAAGACTCTTCCTCCTCTTCGTCCGGCCGACGAATGGTTGGCAAAGGCTTCAAGTCCACCAGCTCAATGTTGTTCATCCACGGCAGCAGGTAGTGCAGCATCACCTGCCTCCCAGCCGGGTGAGCCGTCTGGATTCTCTGGCTGACCTCTGCCGTGCAGACGTTGGGTACACGCAGGAATCGCAAATCAGTAACGAGAATGGTTTCGGTAATGAGAACCACCGCCATCAGCCCAGCAGACCATAGCGATATAAAGTCATGCTGACACAGCCCTGGTCTTTTGATTAGCTGACATTTCGTAGTGATAAAGCCCACAGTCTTCAGCAGGGCTAACTGCAGACACTGCTGCCAAGCAGTATGGTGACACAACCACTGCAGCATACATATATCAGCATATACGTATACATTTTCCCCTAACTGAAGGAGGGAAGTGAAAACCTAGAGCATCTAAAAATGTGCCAACTTTGGGAAAAGAGCCTATCAGTCCTAGTACTTTTTTTTTTTTTAATTGATGTGAGAGGTTATTATTCTGCAATTGTTTAAAAACGCTATGCAATAATATTTTTAAGCAATCTACAGTAAATAAGAAAACACTAGAAAGAACGGTAGAAGAATAATTTTTAAAAACAGTTGCAAATTATTTCTCTAATGTGATTTCTCATGGCTATTAGAAAGTCAGTAAAAGTATCTTGGACACATGTTGCTTTCTGTTGAATATATTTCAAATCCAATTAAAGAAAAATTGTCACTCAGTAAATTCCATTTTCTCCATTCATTATGGCGAGGTTGTCCTGACTTTAGTGAATTAGATACAAATTAATTCTTGAAAAAAAAGAATTACACATCTTGTACAATGCTTTTGACCCGATGGAAGTTTTTTGTTTTGTTTTAAAACCGTACCTGAGAAGATAGCAAGCGTCAGCTCCGGGTAAGTCCTTGCTAGTTCTTCTGACAGCTGATAATAGGACACGGAATACAGATGTGGTAGAGGAGAAGGCTGTCCCAAAACCCCATCTGTCCGCTGAACTTCCAGTTTGTGAGCGTAACGGAACATCTTTGGTTCCAAGATCTGCAACAGTAACGTTCAGAATGTGAACTACAACGGAAATCTTTATATAAAGCCACCTTTTAAATTCCTGTAACTGCTCTCAGGTGATGTTTGCTGTCTGTGCAGATGCCCACACATCCACAGCGTCCACCACCCCTGGCACTTTCCCTAGCAAAGACTCACTCTGCTGGATGAGTTTCCAGCAATGAATGTCAGAAATCTGCTTTCACAAAACACCATATAAAATACATATTTCTCTATAACGAAACGGGAAAGGCTGCTGAACACTTGTGTTTCCAAACAACATCAACTTCTGCTCGTCCAGGAGACATCGCCAGGAGCAACCCCGTCGCTGAGATGCAGCAGGAGGCTAAGGCAGCTCTGTACTTTAAAAGTCAGTCTGGGCTTCTCTTGAGCAGTGGTGCTCGCTTGAGAAGGAAGAAGGGGCTGAACGGGAGGGTGGTGCGAGCGCCGAGACATCAGCAGGGCTGTGACTGCGGCGGGGACTTCACTGTTCAATTCAGCTTGAAAAATCCTCCAGGGATTGTGGTCTGAGCCACAAGCAGCACAGCTTTATTTATTTTTAAACACTAACGCTGCCTGTAAGCTTAAGCTTACCCCTAAACGACCGCGGAAAGGAATATACAAAAGTAAATTAAATGGCTAACAAGCTTTTTGCTATCACCTCTCCACGCAGATACATGAAAAAATGTTTGGTATTAATGCAAAAAAATCAGCAAACTGCCCGCTCCCCCAGCAGACAGAGTGCAGGGAGAGGAAGCGAGACGCTGCTCCCTGAGGAGCTTTGGGACAAGCGGAGCTACACACCCCTCCGTGTCAGGACCAAACCAGAAGAATTTTCATTTAGGTTCTGTCTCTTGAAAAAGCAGGTATTATGAAAATACAGGTCTTGAGTGCTTAGTTCATGATTTCCACTGCAGTCTATCTGTGCAGCTAAGGATCTGGCCTAACTATGTACTAAAACAGTGGAGAAAAAAAAAATGCATACATTGTATTTTATTACTGAAAGGACAACCAAATAATAACAGTTTGGGTATTTTTTAAATGCACGGGGACAACTCTTATTTAAAAAAAAAAAAAAAAAGAATAAAAATTAGCTTACAAACCTGTAATAGTTGCATAGCAACTTCATAGATAGCCCTAGTAGAATCAGCTGCTTTAAATAGTATCAGATTCAGGAGGGTCACTGTATCACACTGGTAATCCCTAGGGAAAAATTGCAAGTGTGAAATCAATAAAATCATATTTGGTCTTCTAAAATTTGAATTTATTAATTTACAAGGGATATGGTACGGGATAATAAAATTTTGAAAAGTTTCTCTGACACATACACACAAACAGGGGCAATCTTTCCTCTTTGAGGGAGGAAAAAACCCAGTACTACACAAAAGCACACTTTGAAAAGGAAAGTTTAAAGTTCTGAAGCACACTGCAGTACCTGTTCTGGAACACGCTGGCTATGGCTTTAAAACAGCCAGCTGCCACCCGCTTGGAACCTGTGTAACACCGGTCTACGGCCCAGTACATGAGGTTACTCTGGTCAGGGTTGAGCTCCAAGAGCAGCATGACCGCCTCGCAGCCTAGCTGGTGAACCTGTACTCCAGAAAAGAGCCAATCCAGATTTATAAACGTAGGAAAAAAGACCAACTTACACAAATGACATGAAATAGGGAAATAACAGATACTTAATAATAGATACTTAATAAAAAACACCCAACAACTGCAATACACAGAATTTATTCCACCTAAAAAGCAATGAGACCACAGCTTAAAATAGCAACAGGTATTTCCATCAAGCTGTTTAATGATCAACCAGCACACGCAGTCATAAATTACTGAAGCAAAAAACTAGACAGCTCTACTGACTTGTTCCCCCCTCAGTTCCAAGGCCCCCTTGGGCTATTTACTGTTTCCACTTGTTCTACTAAAAGCTGAACGCTGGCCTGAAAGCATCAGACCCAGAAAAGCACTCCAACGCGTGCAGGAATTCCAGTGGGATACCAGGGACAGACCTACATGGACACTGCCACGCTCTCCTGAATCCAAGTAGCCCACTGGGGCTGTATTTTTATGTTGCCACCCTACCAGCGCAATGGAGGCCCTATTTTATAAACCCAAAGCTTGCCTTACTGCTTAGACGGAAAGCTCGGTCTTCCTAACTCCGCAGGACCCCCAAAGGAGCCTACAGTCTCACAAGGGTTCACGTTCAAAATCTCATCTCCTTTACACTTCTAAAAGAGCTGCTGATCACTACGACTTCACCTAGCTGATTGGTTTGTAAACGATACACGACGTTCTGCTCTCCTGGCCCTTCCCCTCGGTTCTGTCTGCTCTCGGGTGGTGCTCAGGGACTGCCTTCCTCCGCGGGGCGAGGACAGTGTCCTCCGTATTAAGGACGGTGCAAAAATACACGCTACTAAACCACCTCTCAGCTTCAGCCACTCGCAAGGATTTAGGCCAATCCGAGCGCAAAACTCCTCCAAGCGCGTGTTGAAGGCGCCGATCGTCGCAAACCGGTGCCGCCATTGCCCGTGTTACCTTTTTGTCTTGTGAATCCAAGATATTATCCAGCCACTTGTATAAATAGCCATCAGACGAGAGCCCGACGTTATCTGCAACAGGGCCACAACACAGTACAGCAGACATAGCCTTCAGAAAGCAATCGAAAAACACCACGTTTTAATAACTCAGACACCGGAAGGGCTTTTACCAAAACCATTAACATACCAGAAAACTAACTTCCAGCTGACTATTCAGTCAAGGGAGGAAGAGCAAGGCTAACAAAAAACTGCTTACCACCTTATTCAAGAAATTATCACATCATATTTTTCTCAACTCCCAAATACAAGGAACTGTCAATACTGAAATGCTGACATATGTTATAGATAATACATAGGTTTGACTGTTTATGTACTTTTACATGAAAGCCTTTCTTCTTAGGCAACTGAGGACTAAAGTCACGGGAAGCAAACATTTTGTAGCAATTTTAAGAAAGTCCTATAGCAAGTGCAATAGTTTACAGTACAGAAAAAGCCGAATTTACACGTCGGCAGAAGAGAAAAAGAACTAAGTCATGAATGATAGAACCACAGAATGGTAAGGGCTGGAAGGGACCTTAAAGATCATCTGGTTCCAACCCCCCTGCCATCAGCAGGGACATCTTCCACCAGCCCAGGCTGCTCAGAGCTCCATCCAACCTGGCCTTGAAC